GCGGCGGGACTTACGCAACTTCAATACTGCTCGTATTGAAGAAGTGATCGAGCGGAATCAAGGCTCCAAAGTCTTTGCCAGAGATCTGTCTGCCAGAAAGAGCCAACTTTCAAAGCTGAAGACAGAGTGTGGCAGCATCGTTTCCGGGACACCTGAGATTTTGAGTGAGATTGAGATGTTCTATGGGCAGCTGTACACGTCATCGTTGGAGCCACACGCAAGTGTGAGTAACGATCCAAGAGCCAGTCTTATCCGAAACTATTCTGAAGATATCCCGGACGTCAGTCTGAACGAGATTAGAATGGCTTTACAGCACCTCAAAAACGGCAAGGCCCCAGGCGAGGAAGGAATTACAGCGGAGCTTCTGAAAGCGGGTGGAAGACCGGTACTTGAAGTCCTTTAGAAGCTCTTTAATTCCGTCCTCCACGGTGGCGTTACTCCGGAGTCGTTGAGCAGAAATGCGGTGGTCTTGTTCTTCAAGAAAGGTGACAACGCTCTCTTGAAGAACTACAGACCGACTTCCCTTCTGAGCCGCGTCTACGCGCTGTTTTCGAGAGTCATTACGAATCGTCTCGCGCGCAGACTTGACGACTTCTAGCCTCCCGAACAAGCCGATTTCCGAAAGGGCTTTAGCACCATAGACCACATACATACCCTTCGGCAAATTGTACAGAAGTCCGAGGAGTACAATTTGCCACTATGTCTGGCGTATGTGGACTATGAGAAAGCCTTTGATTCCGTCGAAATTTGGGCAGTGCTGCAGTCCCTTCAGCGGTGCCAAGATTACTGTCGGCATATCGAAGTGCTTCAGCAGTGTTTGTACAGTAGAGCTACGATGGCTATCCGAGTATAGGACCAGAGTACGAAACCTATGCAGCTGCAGAGAGGTGTAAGACAGGGTGATGTAACATCCCCGAAACTCTTCACCGCTGCATTGGAAGACGTTTTCAAGCTTCTGGGCTGGAAAGGATACGGTATTTACAACAATGGCGAGTACATCACTTACCTTCGATTTGCCGACGATATAGTCCTTATGGCAGAATCGCTGGAGGATAGTGTTTCCCAGCGAATAGGTCTTAAACATGATCTTTATTTTGTCCATATGAATATGGACAAAATAAAGATCATGTTTAATGTCCATGTCACACCTATGCCGGTAGTTGTTGGGAGCACTAAGCTCGAAGTTGTTGATGAGTATGTTTACCTGGGACAAATAGTCCGACTAAGTAAGTCCAACTTCGACCGAGAGGTCAATCAACGGATTCAACTCGGCTCGGCAGCGTTCGGGAAACTACGACACATCTTCTCGTCAGACATACCTCAAAACCCTAAAACGAAATTGTACAACCAGTGCGTGTTTCCAGTGATGACTTACGGATTTGAGACTTGGTCCTTCACTGCTGGCCGTATGAGGAAGCTCAAGGTCGCTCAGCGAATTATGGAGAGGGCTGTGCTCGGGGTTTCTCTGCGTGATAAACTTAGAAATAAGTATATCCGCAGTGGAACCAGAGTAACCGACATAGTCCAACAGATTGGTAGGCAGATTAGAACTGGCAGTGGGCCGGCCATATAGTTCGAAGAACCGCCAACCGATGGGGAAGAAAGGTTCTTGAGTGGCAGCCTCTTACCGGTAGGTGAAGTGTATGGCGACCTCCCACGAGATGGAGTGACAACTTGGTAAGGTATGCAGGAAGTCGATGGATGCAGGTGGCTCGGGACCGTGCTTTGTGGCATTCCTTGGGGGAGCCCTATGTTCAGCAGTGGACTTATGAAAGGCTGTAATGATGATGATGACCAAGAATAGGGTTAACATACGAAGTAATAAAATAACGTTTCCTAAGTATTAATCAGATTTATGGTTTACAATTTTTAATTTCATACGGTCAAAACCACCGTAAAAAACAGTTTAAAACAGGTAAAATAAAAATGATTCGGCCCAAAGAACATAAGAACGTATCACAACAGTTACTTTTTGTGGAATGGATTCTATTTTTGTAGTAACGTCCAATTTATTACGATTTCCAATAATCTGACTTAAACTCGAACCATAGCTGATGTAATTGTTATCTACTATATGTAAGTACACTAACGGTTTTACTTATAATCTTATTCCTATCTCTTTCTATTGTCATTCAAACGCAACATTGAACTGCTATTTTATGCTGGTAGTTAGTGATAGCGTCGTCCTTCCCCAATCAAGCCTACCCATTTGTGCCCTATTACGTTTAAAACTATTACTATATTATCTACTACTATTATCTAACTACCATAATCGATGACATAATGAAAGTGTTATATTATCAAATCAATCTATAAAAATTATGAATGAATTAAATACAAATAGATATAATAACGACACCAGTCAGTGAATGCAGTTCAAATTCCTCGGTTTATTACTACTAATAACGGTTATTACTTCGAGCTGAATGCTGCAGCAATGATTCGAATGGTTATGTCCTAAATGTAGATAGTACTTATCGTAAATTTTAAATATAGTCGTACTTAGAGTTTTTAAAAATGTTAAAATCCAATAAATATACAGGGTAGATCCATGTTACAGGTATATTATGGTTGTAGCATTAACGGTTCGGCACGGCTAGCGTTAAATAGTAGTTTAATGTTCTTGTTTCATATAGTGAGTTTAAAGAATCGGAGACCTGAGACAAGGCATTTCATCTAAGTCCTCATGCGCGACAACGCATAGATAAATATAGATGCGAGAGAGAGAGAGAGAGAGAGAGAGAGAGAGAGAGAGCGAGGATAAAAGTAGATGTCTATGGGCCACAGCATCCAGTTACTATTAGGTGAACTGTGTGTTCATTTATCTTCCTTATTCTATAAAGTAAAATCAGTAAATAAACGTCATTAAATACATAAGGCTAACGGTAAACACTGCAGTAAAATTTAATCTTTAATTATCTGTTTAATGTACATCCATTCAAAAATCGGAGAATCTCATATTTAAATTAAAACCTTTCCCTTATTTAAAACGGGCTCCCACAATAACAGTACACAATTAAAAATTGTTTATTTTGTCGCTGACCCGAAGTAATTACACGCGACATAAACAAAATGTTTGGAATCACGCCTCACGTGAATTTAGAATTAGGCCTACAATACAGTGTGCGAAGCAGATAACGAACTAACCGTATTGTAAATAATTCGGATCACGCACAAGCATTTCATCTAATTTGTTACCGTGCTCGATATTAATCCGTAGTTTGAGATGTATTGCAATATAGAATAAGTACCTAAATATAAAATATTTTCCAATCTCCTTGTGTGTTGTCTATTGAAGTTTTAATTAAAATCCCTACGTCGTAAACTAAGCTGAGTTTCGTAGTGACCGCATCGAATTGTACTCATTCCTTACCACGTAATGCGTACACGTACAAGATTCTATATATGTTAAGTTAAGCCAATGTTTTATGTATGTATTCTGTTACAAGGCCTCCGCTTAGTTGATATTTTAGCATTTTTATAACAAATGAATAAGGTTTTGTATAGTTTTGGGTGGGTAAAGTACAAAGTTCTTACGCTTATATCTATTATATTTGCCAGGCCTTATGTTTACATACACATTACATACACAAACACTCATCTGGATCTCTTCTGAGCTGCCCGACATTCACCGGTCCTGACGTACCTTTTTTAATCCACAGGTAACATATAGAAAACTGCTGAAACTGAAGGATCAAGGAGATGAGATTTTTATCTATTGACGATAGCGGAATGGGTATGTAATGTGAACTGTCAAAGCGTTATTGCTTGCGTTGACGGGAAAGTTGACCGTGACTAGTGGTCATTACGGGTGTAGTTCACAAAAGGTTGCTCGCTTCAAGTTATGGAGTGCTTGCCAGTAAGAAAAATTTTATTAAGTAAAAGGAAATGTTTTCCTTCCAAATTGCACTACTTTTAGTCATACAAATTATAACAAAAATTTTTATCAAAAAAACAATATCATCCTACGGAAAAATTAAGAATTAATGATGACAAACATTATCGATTAAGAATGATGATGGAGATTCGTTGTCTACTATAATGTGTAAATTTGGAATGCCTTTTACTGGTAACATAAAAGGAAAAAATACTTTTCTTGTTTAATTGAAGTAATAAACAGTTTTATAGTCCTGATGGTAAGTGGTAATGCAGTCCATGGACAACTGCAGCAAATTTCGAACAAAGAAGCCGAGGACAGAAGCGAGCGACAACTACTAGACCAATGAGGCAGGCCACTGCAATAACACAATAATAACCGCTGAAAATGCTTTCAAAATTGAAAACGGTCCTGTTATAAATGTATTAAATAATAACAACTGTTTGTATGGTATACAATACACATACATATTTTTATACGTGGTAGAGCCATGCTGTAGCTATGGACCACGCTCTCACAGAATACCAGCGTAAAATAGCAGTTTGACACTGCTGTGTTTCGTATGGTGAGTGTAGAGAACCATAGACCTATTTTACTGGAAAAGAGACATTCCATCTTAGTCCTCACGGATGACGACGCATCTGCATTTTGATTCTTTATTGAGTATAAATGTAGATGTCTATGGTTCACAGCAACCACTTACCATCAGGTGGACTGTGTGCTAGTGTGTCACCCTATCCTATACAAAAAAACAGTCATTTCTTATGTCTCATCAAATAAAATATCAAGTTCAATTAAGAATCGACAACCGCAAGTACATATATAGTAATAACAAATATAAAACAAATGTACAGCTTGAAGGCGCAGTGACTTGACATTGAGTTGCGGCGCTGAGGGACACAGATTCAATTCCGCACGGACAAGTATTTGTATTGCCTAAAAATAAATGTTCCGGGTCTGGATATTTATTCTTGTACAATTTATGTTCATAAACTGCCTCTACGATACAGTAAAAAATCCTAGAGTGGGGTTAAAGTTTCTTAAAAGAAAATGAAATAAATAAAAAATTTAAAAATGACAAATTTCATTTCATGTTGTTATGAAAGCCATTACATTAGATAAGTTATTGGTTGAGTGCGTGTCTCGGTATAAACTTCAAGTAAAGATGTTGTCCGGGCATAAGGAACATTCCTTTCTTTTCGGGTTCAGTTTCAGAAGGCAAAGGAGCATTCGGCTTTGGACGGAGCTCAAAATTAAATACGATCGCTGCCAGAGCAGAGCGTAAATTTTGTTCGGCAAAGCGACGCCCTGAAATAAAAAAGGTCTCAACATGATTTCTTACATTTACATGAATGCTACACATTGAATGAATCTAATATTACGGATTTATCCCGTTTGATTCGAAACCCGACCCGCACGTTATAGCACCCATAGTTAGAGGAGAGATTAATAAATTGAGATTTACAACTAACCGTCAATACTGTTCTTGATGGTCATACTGCCAAAGATGATAAAGCGCACATAGAACTTTCATATTATTGAAAAGGTTTACGAACATATAACCATATTTACGCTGATGAATAGGCAGGCAATTCAGCTGAGTACGAAAGGAAGATATGTGTATGATACAATATTAAGGGGACGATCAAATATTTTAAGACTTTATTGAGACAGCTCTGAGCAAACCTTATCAACATAGTAATCGGCAGAATGACAATTTAGACAAGTAATATTTTTGCAGCGATTTGATAAAAAAATCATATAACAAAAAACATGTAAAGTTGCAGTGGCTTTGCGACCTAACACTTGATTATATTTCTTCTATGAAGGCAGCTATCAAGATACAGATCGAGAGAGAAAGAGTATAGGATGGCATTGTTAAATAACGTATAATTGTAAAATAATAGGTGTAGTAAGAAGTGACAGATAGACATGAAACAAGAGACGCACAGCAGCATCTTCCTGATGACAACGCCAAAATAATAAAAAACTGCAGTTACAGATTGATTTGGAGAGGAAGAAGGCTTTCCCCTCCGGATGCTATCTACTTATAGATTAAAATTATAAATGTATTATTTTGACTTACCTATGCAATGTCTTGGTCCTTCACCAAACGGCAAATAACACATAGCATTTATTTGTTTTTCATTCTCTGGTAAGAAGCGATCGGGATCAAAAATTTCTGGTTTAGGAAAAATTCGGGATCGTAATGCATGCCAATACCATTGACACATATTGGTGTTCCGGCAGTGATGGTAAGGTTTTCATCAATTTGGTAATCCTTGGATGCGATTCTATCTGACCACCCCATTGGTGCGTACTTTCTTAATGTTTCTGAAACGTTATATCAAGATATAAGTTTGGCTTTGTTACATTTATTATAATTATTGTATTAATTATAACTCATGAGATGTCCATCACTGAATAAAGTATTTTCTAAAAACTGCCACACAAAACCATCGTGATCAATTTGCATTCATTTTCTTCTTTCATGCCATATCAAGTGCTCATTTTGCGAGGAGTTGCTCTAAATTGCTCTTGCCTATAGGAGTTTGTTATTTAAGAACCATTTTTCTTTTTTATAGAATAAGGGTGACAAACGAGCACAGAGTCCACCTGATGGTAAGTGGTTGCTGTGGCCCATAGACATCTACATCTATCATAGTTTGCGAATTAAAATGCAGATACGTTGTCAGCCGTAAGGACTAAGATAGAATGCGTCTTTCCCAGTAAAATTGGTCTCCGGTTCTCTACACTCTCAACATACGAGACACTGCAGCATTAAGCTGCTATTTTACGCTGGTATTCTGTGAGAGCGTGATCCTTCCCCGGTCGAGCGGACCCATTCGTGTTACAACTATACCAGAAATATAGCTGCAGCATGGCTCTACCACGTGTAAAGTAACGCCAATATTACGTATTATTATAATAAACATAACGCAGCTAAGACGTAATTTCCAATGAAAAGCGATTTAGGCAGATATTACTCCTCATCTGAGAGAGTGATGAGTTCAGCAGTGCCTTTAAGCATTCTTTAGGTTGTGCCGGTTACTTTGTTTTAACTTTGCCAGTAGTACTAGTTACTCGACTCCATCGAGTCAGTAATTCATTCTTGGGGCGATATATACGCTTTTACAACAAAATTCCAGAAAATATACAAATTTGACCTGCTCAAAGTTCTAAAACTTTACTAAACTATATTTGTATAAAAAGGGTTATTATAATATTGAGGAATTTATGTATATATATATATATATATATATATATATATATATATATATATACTTTTTGTTGTTAATTGTGTAACATACATGATTGTAAGCTGTTATTTTAAAAAAAAGTCCCGCTGGGTTTCTATCTATTTCTTCCCAGGACAGAGGTAATTAAACAAAAGAGTGACTTTCATTAAGTATTATTTATAAGCTATACTGAATAAAAAAGTTTTTTTGGTTATAAACATGAAGTATTATGGTCACAAATAAACATCTAATATATCTCTCAATATTTTTATCGACAGTATATTTCGTTAATGGGACGAACCACGAACTTAAAAGTCGTGAGTTGGAACCCGCCATTCGACTACTGTAGTGAACGACTCATAACCTAAGCACCTTATGCTTACTTGGTGCGATTAACGGAAAACGAGGCGCGGGGAGCAGCGGCGCGAGTTGCCTCGGGTGTGCAAACCAGCGGAGTATCTGAGACCGGACAATTTTGCAAGTTCATGCTGCATTACAGTTTTTTTTTAATAAATTTTTTCTATTTAGGATGTGGTTAAACTTTGTTTTACTTTTATTCTTTAAATGTATTAAACGTGTTTTCTAAGATGAAATCATTCTCATGAAATCATTCTCATTCAAATGAGTTTTTAAATTACTGATGACAACTTTTTATAGGACTCGCTCATAATTGACATTTTTTATTATTTACTGACATGGTACATAATATTGTTTAATTTATAATTTTCTTTATTTTTAATAATAATATTTATTTTTAATTATATTTTTTTTAAATTGTACTTTTGATAACATTAGGATATGATTGGATGGATTGATTCTTGTCGTTAATTTAATGATTTAATAATGATTGATGTCGATGTGTTAATTTTGTATAATTTTATAAATTCTAAGAATAAATAAATTTGCATGTCTCCATTAGGGACTTAGTATGTAAACATAGTATTTAACAATATCTCATGTAACATATATATACTAAAAAGCAAATAATTAAATAAATTCATCATCTTCATTTTTAAGATGAAATTAAAATATAGACAACTACGCACCTTTTATCACACAGTTTAAATATACCAGTTCAGATAAAAGTTTTGCATTAAATTCAGTGTTTCCACTATTCCTTTCCGCATCTTTAAGCTCCTTGTACAGTTTTTCCTGAAAGAAGATTTATTATAATTACCTCTCTCTTCTTCTTTCGACTATAAGGATTTGTTGCGAGAAGAAGGCTTTTCAATAAATCCAAGCCAATAGAGTCTATAAAAGTACACTGCTGTAAATAAGAAAATAGGTCTCCCACATAGATTGCTTCATAAGGTTTATATTTACTACTAGCTGTTCCCCGCAACTTCGCCCGCGTGTTATTTAGGGTTTTAATATTTTTGCGCGGAACCCTATTTTTTTTTCTAAAACAAAAGTAGCTTAAGTTACTCCCTATCTGCTACAGCTATCGGCAATCCCGTCAAAATCGGTCCAGCCGTTTCCGACGGTCCGCCGGTCCGAACAAACAGACAGACAGACAGACGGGCAAACAGACAGACAGACAGACAGACAGACAGACAAAAACTTTAAAAATTGTATTTTTGTTATTATTACCGTATATACTTTCATATGCATTTAGTAAAAAGCTGTAATTTTGACATTAAAAACAGACACTTCAAATTTATTTATTTGTATAAATATATAGATATTTGATACGTTTGTGAATCGGCTTGTAAGCCGCAGTTTTTTTACTTTTAATTTTATTCAGGAAAAAACTGCTGCCAATATCTTGGTTTGTTTCCCTCTGTCGCCCTTTGCTTCGGGTAGTGGTTATTTCCCATAGACAATATATACAAATAAATAAAATTGAAGTGTCTGTTTGTAATGTCAAAATATTAGCTTTTTATTAAATTAATATGAAAGTATATACGGTACTTATAACAAAAACACAATTTTTAAAATTTTTGTCTGTCTGTCTTATTGTTCCTGCTAATCTCCGAAACGGCTGGACCGATTTCGACGGGACTTTCACTGGCATATCTGCCTGCTGATGTTATAAGGAGTAACTTAGGCTACTTATATTTTAGAAAAAGAATTAGGGTTCCGCGCAACATAATAAAAACCCTAAATTACACGCGGGCGATGTCGCGGAGAATAGCTAGTTTATAATAATTTTCATAATTTACATGCGCTCTATCGAAAACCTAAGTATTAAAAGAATCATTATTAGGTTCGTAAAATCACTAGTATGTAGGTGTAATATTGTTTTGTAGGGTTTGAAAGTGGTTCCAAATGGTTCGTGTGTGATTTCACCGCATGCGCGCCGGTGCGTCGTCCTTTTCTTTATCGAAGTCTAGATTAGACCCAAAGTAATATAACTAGAAACATAAAAAGCTGAAAAAAAGTTTCAATGCAATCGAAGTCGGTGGCACTTCTAGTTTGGTATAAATTTATAGGCTAATATAACACAATAAGCATCGTAGTACTGGTTTTAAATCAAAAATATAGCCATTTTTACATGATAGAGCTCTGTTGCTGCTATAATAATAATAATAATAATAATAATAATATAAGGCGTAGGGAAGTGACGACCCCATCGCCCGCTGACGTAACGGTTATGTGACAAAACTGCTACGTCAGCGCAGTCAGTCAGCACCTTGCCAAGAGGTGTTAGCGCCGTGCCTCGGCAAAATTGGAGGTGCAAAGGCCCGATTGTGCACATGGCCTCACCATGAAACGGTGCCGGGTCTGGGCGTCTCCCGTTAACTGACGCCCAAGTAATGGATGATGGAACTAAGAAATACGCGCAAAGGGCCGCTGCCTGGAGGTCGCCAGGGCGCGTCTGGAGCTGGCGCTGGACGCGGCAGCATGCGAACCGCCAGTCGACCGCGAGGTGCTGCACGATCACCCAGCAGCCCCTCGCATCCATCATCCCCACCAGCTGGCTTGGTGTTGGCAGGGTCTTCGTTGGCCCAGCAATCAGCACCCGCCACTGGTGGAGTACGCCGCATGCGTTGGTCAATGCAAATGAATAAAAATGCATTGCGGGCGTATTTTGGGGCGAAAGGGAGAGAAATTGGAGGTTTTGGGTATCGGGCTAGGATGCACCGACTATTTGCTGAGCTGGAGCCATCTATTACCGTTACCGAGCAAAATCTGGCAGACCGAGTTCGGTACATCATGCGCTCAAAAATATTTGATGACGCCGAACTCGAACGGCTACGACGTGAGGCTATTCCTTTGTCGAATGAAAATGCTACGACAGGAGATGCGGCTCTACGAGTTGCAGAGCAACCCGCACATGTAGATGCCGCCGTTGATCTCCTTGTAGTTGACTCAGGCGACGATGGAATAGTCGCCCCAGAACTAGAGCAAATGAGGAGCATAGTGGAAGAGGCGATTAGGGAAACGCGCAGTACGCCTCTCGAGAATCGACCGCGACTTCCCCGTATACCCCTAAGCAAGCGGAATCGGGCTGTCGTGAGGGCTCTCAACCCAATGCTGGTGACCTATTTGGAAGCCAGCCGGGACCTTTGCGAGACGGACTCAATTCTTTTTGGCGCCGCACTGGCAGTTTGCCGTATTATTGGCGCCAAACTTCCCAAGGCTGGACGCGCTACTAGACAAAGTAGCGCCATCCCAGCCTGGAGAAGAAGAATTGAGGACCGTATCGCAAAGGCAAGGGCCCTCATCGGCAGGCTGATAAGCTTCAGGTCGGGCAATAATAGGCCGAGAATTGTGCGCACCGTCAGGTTGGCGTTTGCTGGGACAAACATCAGTTTGTCCCAGCCGGATATAACGCAAAAACTGACGGAGCGCATAGACAACCTGAAGCAGAGAATCGCTGCTTGGGGGAAGCGGATTCGGCGATATACCGAGAGGTCAACACGGTTCAACCAGAATCGTCTCTTCCA